TAACCGCGAACGGACCCCGTCGTGGGATATAGGGAACCCTAAAATTCGAAACGATTACCGGTTAGACGAGGAACGAGTGACGAACTTGTTGTAGAGGTGATCCCAAGACTATCATCTATAATATGAATCGAAGAGGAACCCTACACAAATGTGCCCGAATGATAATGAAGAAAAATCCTTAACAAAAAACTTGTACTAAATACCTCACTTCGTACTTACTGGTTAAGTAATGTTGGAAATCACAGCTAGACTTAAAAGTTCTCCAAAATTAGAGTGTTGTTGTGACTTTAGTGAGTTTATGACGCGATGCCGTCCACTCTGCAACTGGACAGTTTGCTCCATAGTCGAGTTCTTTGAAATCATAACAAACGAATTGAAATCAATCTAGAGTAGGTGAGAGGATCTATTTTTGAAGATGTTTATGGAAACAACGGAATAATGACGCTGCAAATATTGCACCGCTTTAAGAGAAAAAATCGCTGTGGTCTGATTTAGTTATAGTTAACAATAACTTACTTTGATACTTGGGTAGCCGGTCTTCATCGGATGTGCGGATCCCAGCATAATCTCCAATTTTTCGGAATTCTGTTGGCTTAGCCACTGCAGTTCCCTGGAGACCCGAGGACAGTCTGGCCAACATCTGCCTCATGTCGCCACCACCCCAGGCAGTCGCCGCCCTTGTGGATCACTGGCAGATTTCCCGCCATGCGACTAATTTGATTCCAAGACAGTGATCGATCGTGTATTAGTTTACTCTTAACAGGGCTTCCTGATGGAAACCCCGAACTGCTTGTCAGCTTAAGAGGTCGTGCTGGGGAATGAATCCCCGCTGTACATCGCAGCCCGACACTCAGGAATACCTCACAGCCACCACAAGCCGGTAAACCGTTAGGAGGTTAGTCATGTTTTTACAATTAAATAAATACTCTAGCATACTCCTAATATCATAATGGACGTGTCCATTTCCGGTTCTCTAGCACCCCTGACACATACTCTCCTTCAGTTCACGCTAATCGATATGATCTCGTCCGTATGTATCAGGAAAATAACCACGTAGTCGGCCTCTGATATCTTAGCGCTTAGTAAAATTGCGAATTCACATAACAAGACTAAGCAAGTTCGTAGACAAGTACTTATTGTTGTCTATCGTATCCACATTACTTGCCCTCTGTTGTGAGTTAGGTTACTAGGCTTTCTCAGCTTTACTTCTTCAAATTATGAATTAACTTACTAGATTATTAAGGAAGAGTAGGTCACTAACACGGCTGTGATCATAGTATAGCCTACATTTCAAATTCGATTAACACACAACAGATTTGTTATGAATATGGGACACTCACGAAGAAAAGGACCATTTCTTCTCATGTTGACGGCAACAAAGAACAAGTATAAGGGCATATCCGTGCTCCGCTGATTCTAAAAGGTTCAATAAGTATTCTGGACGTTTAACTTTATGTTCGTGATTTCCTATATTTGAAAGGACAAAAAAAAGATAAAGCTCTCGGCGTTGGTCAATTCCTGAGCGATGTGCCATGCATTCGACTTCATTAAGCATACTTGGAGGTGATTGAATGCATATCTGGCCTTTACAATAACTCGCGGTGGCCTACAGATGTATCGAGCCAGTGCTGCTATCCTCCCAGACAAGTCTGGTACCAATTTGTCGAACCCGGAGAGATGGAACGCTCGGTGGGCCATGGAGGCAGGGATCGATTCCACGTGTGTGTCGCACTGGCGCCTCCAACCAATGCGCCACATGCACCCAATTTAATATAAATTAAAATTTAAAATTGTTAGATTTAAGAGGATATGCTGGATAAAATCTCCCCACTATCTGCAGATGGGTTCTCAGGCGACTATGAATTTTTGAATCCTTTCAAATTTCGTGAACGCCCTAACCTTTCCGTTACCATGCACATTGATTTCAATACGTACGTTGCTGTGCGTTTCGGATCGTGCATCGTGATACTAATACATATCTCAATTGCGCTACAATGACACGAGGTCCGAAGAGTCTGACATGCCAAAATGGCCTTGAGCGTGAAAGGATTAAATCATGGATTACTCCAGTGTCGTTCTGGATGTCCTCTTCAGCAGTTCCACAACCGCGGCCAATTTCGCGCGGCAGTCCGTCGAAGCGGATATGATTGGAGCGCGATTGAAATGAGCGTTGAAATCAAGATGTACGGTCCCTACGTCCTATTAAAAAGCAGGCTACACCGGTTTCCTCAGGCCGTGATCATACTGCACGATTTGATGGAAATTTTCGAGGTACCTGTAAGTTCTACGTATCTTCTATGTTCTTCTATGGATATTCCTGTGCTCTTGCACACCTTTTCTTTATGATCTAATTTTTGTGTGACGAAAAAAACCCGACCGTTACCCAGCTACGGCATTATCCGCATTCCGCATGGTTTTATGTGGTATTAGAAGTGTATTTCTGTCTCTCCTTTTTTTTTGTATCCACCAGTTCCATTCCACCGTCTGAAAACGGCTTTTCGGAAGTATAGCGCATTGAGAACACCTACTCAAGGGTAGGCCACAGTATAAAATTTATATTCCGCAAGCCGTCGATTACCTAGCCCTGGCAAAAAAGCTTTGTCCGGCGACATAAACCAGAAAAATAATCGTGCGCATTGAAATCAAGATGTACGGTCCGTAATACGCACCAGGCTACATGTCGAAACCAGTGCGTAGGCTCCCAAAATGGCTAACATAATTCACATTTAGGAATCTACTGCTTACTGGGTGCACTTGGCTGTTGATTTCTCCTATTTCCTTATTCCATGGAATATTTTGCATTTAGTATTAGATTGGCTTACTACCTATCTTCTTCATGAGCCATTATAGGATGCGTATTTTTTTCAAATCAGACGTCTTTCACGTCTACTGCGCGCATTCAAACACTTATGGCAATCCTCGCATCCATCATCCACGAAGGTTTATGAGTTTTTCGTGTGTGGGGTTCAGATGTTGCTTGATGGTTTTTCCCTTGTCATGAATGTTATTGAATGCTGGTTAAGTCAATTCTCTACCTAGAACCCTAAGATGGCTGAGCTAGACCGTTTCCATCTAGATTTCAGAGAATGAAGTTTTCCCAAACAAATCTGGTACCCATTTCCCGAGCATGGAGGGATGACAGTATTGGTGAACCCGGCGCGGAGTCGAATCGGAATCGTGTTTGGGTTGATCGGCATCACCATCACTGTGCTGCCCGCCCTCTCAAAATCTGCAGTACAACCATAAAAATGAAGTTACTTGAATTATCTTAGTCCAAAGAAAAAGGTCCACGAAAAAGAACAACAATTCCAGCCGTCCGCGGAGTCCACAAACCTTACTTATCCTGCACCTAAGAGGCATCTTTTAAATCAAATCTGGTGGACATTTGGTCTGAAAATCGTGCTATTAAACCTGTCTTCCTTTTCATTTGCTGGAGACACTTCTTCATTTCTTAGATTTTATCGTCAATGACATATTCCATACCGAACATTTTCAGAACATTAGATTACAGCGGAAAACTTTCAAGGTTTTCAGCTAACATATTCCTCTTACTGTACGAAGAAATGCAGTGCGATCAAGATCTATTCATTTCAAAATCAGGATGGAATTCTTTTGTTTACAAGGTTTAGAAATTCTACCCATGTTGGTATAAATTCCCAATAATGATGAAAAGTATTAAGAAACTCGGCAACAAGCGTGTTAGGAGGATACCGGTATTGCAATTTGACCTGTTTGCCAAAGCTGAATACTTGGAATCTCTACAGCGTAGTTGTTCACCATTTATTTATGTTTATTTTTACTTATTATTTATCTATTTTTACTTATTTGTTCACTTATATGATTCTTTCTCTGCACGTTTTGCCGACCGAAGGACATTTTTTAATTCGATTCGTGATCTCACAAACGAAGGTCTTGCCACTTAAAGACTATGTCTCTGTCAAATGCTGATAAATCGTAACTCTTCCTGGAATCTTGGGATAGCTCTAGTTCATGGTTCACAACACAGCCACTGACAACCGCCTGCTTTTGTGGACTGGAGGGAAGTTTTCCCAGACCAATGTGGAACCAATTTCTCAACTTCAAAAGTCCAGCAGGCTTGTATGGCTTGTGGCGTGGTAGAGCCAGCAACCATGTGCGTACTGTTCTTCAGCATCACTACACACTTAGTTTCCGCTCTTTTAGTTGCCTTTGTAAGTCTAAATTATTACCAATTTTCTATTACTAATATGCAACTTGATTCTAGGTATTCCTGAAGGTTGACTTGGATTCATGGGAAATTCGATGCGTTTACTGGCACTAGATATTAATTAATAACTGGATCTATGATGAAGAAGATAGAAGATCATAATTCTGGTCCTTATGGATGTTCGAGCAAACCAACCAGCATTTTATTTGTAATGCAACACAGAGGATGTATAATGAGATGAAGAAGGTAACAAAGCTGTTGTCTAGATAACATCAGAGCTCATTTTGCGAGCTCTTAACACCAGCAAAAAACAACCTTTTTGATTTTACCAACATTGATGATCCAACGTAACAGTATTGTAACCTATCCTCTAGGAGGGGCGCATGTGGCGTAGTGGTCGGAGGCGCCCTGCAATACACACATAGAATTGATCCCCCCTTTCACAGCAATACCGTAATATTTAGCTTAAAGAATTTCCCAACAACAAAATTATGGGGCACGTATTAACACGTTCAAAACTATGTACACGTATTATGAAAAGTCCCTACTATTTCATAATCGTTCTTCCTTCACCTAGACATATACTATATAAATTCGGCACCTAGCAATAGTCCATTCCAGTGCTAGAGATAGATAGACAAACGTAAATAAAAGCGGTAAGGATAATAATGAATTAGAAAATGTGTGAATGACAGGTGACGTCACGACGAATGATAACGTAATTGGTTAACAGGAATGTGAGTTTTGACGCCTATACAAATTGAAAACATGGAAAAAACCCTTGGAAGAGTCATCAAGACTGTACAAATTAGTGTCACTGTTGATTTAATTTCGCTTGTCCCATAGGCCTTAATTTGTCGGATATCTGAAAAAAGAGTCCTCAGTTCGTCAAGATATTAAAGCAAACTTGAACATGACAGGGGTTAAATATCAATAAAAAATATAAATGTCATCTTGGGGTTAAATAAAATAGGTGAAATCCGTCAAACCGGAGAGACATCAACAAACATAACCTTAAACGGCGCGCCAGTAATTTTCTTAACGTCCTCAACTGTTAGGTCGGGCCAAACCTCTATCAGTGTTAGGCCAGTTTTCTTATCAACATCAAACACGGCCTGCAACTGTGTAGTAGACCCTAAGCATTAATATTCAAATAATAATGAGTATATAATGATGCTAAGATATTTGCAAAACTCCAAAGCGCTAGTGTCTACAGTGAGGACCAAACACGCTAGTACCTTTCCGGGCTAACGCGTTCACCACCACACCATGCGAGTCCTTCGTTTCCAGAGAATAATGAATTTAATAGTTAATAAATATACGAACCTTGTCCGTAATGATACGTGAAACACACTGCTTTCCAGTTAGAGGCAAGTCGCATGCTGTCAAAATTTTTGGCTCTCCTTTCCTTGAACAGTGTTCCATCGTAACAATTACGCGAGTTCCAGGAGCAGAAACCAAATCCATAGCCCCACCCATACCTTTTACCAATTTACCCTAAATTAGTGAGCATAAGCAAAATATTATTCTATGCTAGATAATGATGAGTGATTTCCTTTCAAATAAACCTACAGGTACCATCCAATTTGCAAGGTCTCCGAATTGCGACACTTGAAGAGCGCCCAGGATTGTGAGATCCATGTGCGATCTGAGTCATATGGGAGAAAAACCACCGTCATGTTGTGAACAACTGACTGAAAACCCAAGACACAACTCACCCGCGAATCATAGCAAATGACTCGTCACTTCCAAATAGAGCTGCTCCCGGAAGCAATGTTATTGTTTCTTTTCCCGCATTTATAAGATCTGCGTCCTCAAAACCACGCTTAGGATACGGTCCCTTGAATTAAAAGAGATGATACTTTGGGAGAAATTTTTTTAAAAAAAGGTACATAAAGGTACATTTGTTCTTCTAATGAAATGCGAAAAGAAAGTGTGGAAGAGATGCGGACGACTCACCACTCCAATTACACCGTTCTCGCTTTGTAGATGAACTGTTACACCTTCAGGAATATAATTAGGCGTGATAGTAGGAATACCGATACCAAGATTAACTGAAATATTGGCTACTTCTTTAATGATATTTATTTCAGAGTCCGGTCGACAAAAAAGGATAAAAGATAAAACTCTCGGCGTTGATACGTCCCTGAAGGATGCACCACGCATTCGACTTCACTAAGCACCGTTGGAGGTGATTGAATTCATAACTGACCTTTACAATGACTAGCAGTGGGCTACCGATGTATTCAGCCAGTGCTGCTAACCTCCCAGACAAGTTTGGTACCAGTCTGTCCATCCCGGAGGGGCGGAGAACTTGGCGTGCCTTGTGTGCGGGGATCGATCCTATGTGTATTGCAGGACGCCTCCTACCACTGCGCTACATTCCCCCTTGTCCGGTCGATAAATGAAATGAATACGGGATGGACGGAATCGAATACTGCTTAGCTTTTAAAAATTAAACGGAAGTAGTGGGATGTGTAGTTAGTGGAACTGATGAATATCTCCTGTCGAATTTAAATCCGTCCTATGAATCGTTAGTGGTATGCAGTGTGGACGTAACCCACATAACAAATTGCCATCTTCTTCCAACCAATGGCGCGTTTGTTCTGTATGTGCAGCCTTTAAAACGTTCTGAAATACTAACGAACCGTACACTCCGTCGCGAAACTCTAGTGCAGCCCTTGCAGCTATAATGTTACGCACTTTATCAACTTCAGATGATGGCTCTTTTATTCCAGTTTCCTTAAATATCAATGCATTAAGAAGATTACTGAGTGTTTATTGTCAATTATGAGCTAAATCTCAATTTTTCAAGTAACCCACAAACCGATGCAAACATTGGCTTCTCTATTGGCTTCTTGTAATCTTTGCCAAGCACAAGTCGATCGCAATATATTGACGGAATATGGACCTATATGTGCCTACTGGAGAAATAAATAAATCTCAAAAAATCCAAGAGCTAGTGTTCATAAACATACATTACTTGGAGGAATGACACCTGCTTCAACGATTTCTTCAACTTCGACGATGGTACACTTACTCGCTTTGCACATGGCATTGTTAAAGTTCCCAGCAGTAAGTCTCAAAAATTTAAAAATCCTTCACGAAAGCAGTTACTGAAGTTGGTATCAGAACAAGCGAAACTCTACAACAATGGATACCCATCACTTGGATTAAGACTTAGCGTGACTTACCTAAATTGAATATTTCCTAATTTGTCAGCTCGCCAAGCCTTGACAAGAGCGAAATCCCCCCGTATTGCTTCTTCCATGACATAGTTGACTCCGTCGAACACACGGACCTAGAAGAGATTCTAGAAAGATTGTGTTACTCCGAGTTTATTTTTAAGTTCGGAATAGTATAATCATTGTATTAAACGTAGAAGGAACTTGAGAAAAACTAATGAGATACTAAATTACAACTTCAATCAAATCTAATCAACATTTGCAACTCAACATTCCAGAAGACATGCAACTTCGTACTTAAGCCTGAAGTACATTTAAATTACCTCTTTTGGTTTGCTGGAAATTTCAACTTTTCCCTTTTCTGTTTGACTGTACTTGACTGGAGCTCCGCCTTCTTGTATTAACGTACCATATCCTGTTGGTGTAAAAAAAGCCGGTATCCCAGCACCACCAGCTCGAATTCGTTCCGCCAGTGTACCCTGAAAGCTCATACTCTTGAACAAATAGAGATCTCTACAACTAAAACACGCCGAATAGAAACAAACTGACGCAATTTTCCATTGCGAAGACCATTGTCGTTTGGAAAACAATGGTCAGTCTTCAACCTCACATGTATAAAATATATAAAGGTACGTGAAAAAGGACATGAGATTACGCATTTTATCAGTTGTCTGTTGGCTGAATTACAAGCATAGCCCGACTTTACTAGTTGTGCAGGCCCCAGCACAATTTCCATTGTTTTGGAGTTTTGCTGATTTAGCCATTGTGGTTCCCTGGAGTCCCGAGGTCAGCCTAACCAAAGTCTGCAGGAGGTCGTCACCACCACAAGCAGCCGCCGCCCTTGTGGATATCAAGACGGTGGTGGATCCTAGTATTGATTTGCTCTCGACCGGGCTTCCTGATGGAAACACTGGACTCTTTCTCAGCATGGGTTGTCCTGCTGGGGAGAAGGAGGATGAATCCCCCGCTGTACATCGCAGTCCGACACCCAGGAACACCTCCCAGCCACGACGCGACGGTAAACCGTTGGGAAGATTAAATACATAAATAATGAATAAAAGACAATGATAAATTATTGATAGATATCCAATATTTAGAACCCTACCTGTGGAGTGAATTCTAGTTCAAGTTCCCCAGATAAGTATTGACGTACGAATTCTTCATTCTCACCAACATACGACGAAATCATCCTTTTGATCTAAAAAAGCAACGTCAATACGACAACTCTGTAGACGTGGAACGCTTGTGGACTAAAAACTGGTATAAATTTTTAGAAAAAAAGAAGATGATCACAACAACAGTTCAACCTTTCTATTAAAAGGATAAATAAAAGATGGAGCTCTCAGCGTTGATCAATCCCTGACGGATTCGCCATGCATTCGACTTCATTAAGCATCGTTTGGAGGTGTTTGAACGCATATCTGGCTTTCACAATGACTCGCGGTGGCCTACCGATGTGTCGAGCCAGCGCTGCTATCTTCCCAGACAGGTCCGGTACCAATTTAATCACCTCGGAGGGATGGAGGGCTGGCTGATCTTGGTGCGCGGGAACGATCCCATATGTATTGCATGGCGCCTCCAACCACTGCGCTGAACGCACCCATAATCTTGCCATTAAAAACGACAAAACTCAAATCATTGAGGATGTTCATATCCAATTTATTACGCTAACTAAATTGTACATAAGGATTTAAATACTCACTTGCCGTGTTTTCAGCAAGATGCCCAGTCCCCAGTTGTCTGTACCAGCATTGTTGGAGACGCATGTAAGTCCTTTTTGGCCTGTCTCACTTAAGGCTGCGATCAAGTTCTCCGGAATACCGCATAGTCCGAAACCTAGAAATACGTTAACAGCTGGATTTAAAGTTATACACTGAAAAAATGATGTGATCTGTTACTGATAATCAATAAGAATGACCCAACTTTTCCAAAGTAGGTTACAGACAACCCAGTAAAAGAGGTAAACGGTGTTAACGTGTTGGGACGGACGAGCTTACCAGGTACAGAGCCGCAAATATCACCAAGAAACTTCGCAGTAAAAATAAAAGGGCAATTACACTGCAACATTTACGAATACCTCCAACTAGAAGTTTCGAATTGTCAGGGATATCTTGGACAGCTTCTCTGGCGGTGGCGTAGATCTTCACATAGCGATTTGGTGACGTTGAGAGTTGCCGATAAACCGGAATGATCAGTTGGGACTGTAAATCGTACTATACTTACACAGGGTTTGTGATAAATTCACGAACAACTAACCTACCGTATGCCAAGATCTGTGGAGAATCAGGAATCGTGACAAGACCACCATTCTTCACCACGTCAACCGTAAAAGGCGTAGTATCTTTATTATTGTTTAGCTATTTAAGTTAAATGAGATATACAAAAATGGAAAGTCTAGGAACTGCGATAAGGATATGCACTGAAATAAAACTTTTCGATTGTAGAGATAAAACAAAGTACCGCAATGCTCATGATCGTGCTAGTTTTTCGACAATAATGAAGATAATTTTTCCACAGTTACGGTATTTGAGGAGCTGAGAACTTTACAGGCTTATAGGAGCAACTTTGTGCTTCGAACATACTTGCATTTTTCTAAAAGAACATTTTTCTTGTTCTAAAGAACATACTTGCATTTTTAAATTGTTATCTATGAGCTAGGAAAGTGTAGTAGTTAGAGCCGTGCAACAATAAACGCGTGGTGGTTGATTCAACTCCGCATTTTCCAGTGAAAGCCACCAAGCGTGCGATATCACTCCTATCTGGAGAAAGCTTTCCCAAATCAACGAAGGATAGCAAATGGTCTATTAGATTTATCCCAGTACTCCATGGAGAGTGAATTCGACCAGCATCCAATGCTATACGCGAGAAAGACAAAGCCCTCAAGTAGAAGCTAAAACGCACATGCAAGTGAGAAAACTTTCATCGACTGTGGACGCAAGGCAACAAATCGAATGAGTGAAGTTCTAAGATCCGAACATCGTGTAAAGCCGATCGTACATGAAGTAAACGCAAGCACTTCGCTAATTTCAGACCTGCTTAAAACTTGGGAGAAGTGGGTGAACAACCGCAAACAACACCGCATTCGTGAGCTCCGTCTTCTCTCACCGGGCGGAAACCCGTTTTTCCACCGATTCGTCGTTCATTCATGAGAACCATTCACCACAGAAAAGCGGATAACAGTAGGCTTTGTTAGATTTCATGAAACAAACGTTGGAATAGGAGAATATGTATTTTGTGTAGACATTGGCGGATTTTATTCCAATTGATAGGATTCATTATGACCTGAGACATGTTTATTTAAAGCGAGAAAGAATCGCTAGAAAAGCATTCTCAGCTTCGTATGCATGGAAACCAATGCGTATTGTATAAAATGTTCAAACTACAGCTTATTTTACCAAACATGATGTGGAAAAAAAAGTTCTTATGTTCTCACCATCCAAAGATTTACACCTCTGATTTTCTTTTCATACATCGCTTCTTTCTAGACCACGTGTAGGGCAGTGAATGGAGGCGCCATTGCGACACATGTGGAATCGATCTCCGCCCCCATGGCCCCCCACCAAGCCTTCCATCTTTCCAGGGTCGGCAAATTGGTACCAGACTTGCCTGGGAGGACAGCAACACTGGCTCGATACATAGGTAGGCCATCGCGAGTCATTGTAAAAGCCAGATGTGCATTCACTCACCTCCAACGACACTTAATGAAGTCGAATGCATGGCGCATCCCTCAGGTATCGGTCAACGCCGAGAGCTTTATCCTTTTTTAGCCTTTACCTCGCTTTTGGCTAGGAACAGACGTAGTTGTATCAGTTATTAGAGGACATTGAAGTCAGAATAAAGACGGAAGGAAAAGAGAAAAACGTAGAACAAAACTGCAGTGAAGATGGAAGAAAAATGAAAAGAAAATTACGGAAAAGAGAGGGTAAAAAGAGAGAGAGACAAAGAAAATAAGCAAAAATAAGATGACGCAGTGAAAGTGAGGGGTTGAGTTGATCAAGTAGCGTTGTGTTTTCCTTGATTTCTTTCAATTATTTCCCTTAAAGGTCTTCCATCTTTACCAGAAAAAAAATTGAAGAAATTGTGTGGATACAAGGATAATTCTTATTTAGCTGTTGTTATGTTAATTCAATGGAAGCTCGTGCAGCACAGTGGCTAAAGGCACTCCGCAATATACACTGCATCCTTGGTTCGATCACTCATTCCAGGTCAACCAAGTGTGCCATCTTTTCGGGTTCTGAAAATTGTTCGCAGGCTTGTCTGGGCGGATAAAAATACCAACCTGATACATCAGAAGTCTTCCCCAAATCACTATGTAGTCCAAATATGCATTCAGTCACCGCTGCGTTGCTTCGAATGGAATCGAATACATGGCACACTCCTCATGGATTGATCAATGCCGAAGACTTTATCCTTCAATAATTCATATTGGTTCAGCAAAATTTGTCCCAAAATTCACACGGGATAATCGCACCAGAATGAGCTCAGGTTATTGTTAGCTCTGGCACTTGTCAGGAATCGTGAATCGGAGGAACACATGTTGCATTGGTTTTCTTCCAGAAAGACAAAAATTCTTCATAGAGTTCGATTACCAGTTGAGCGCCCAAATTGAAGCTGAACTTCTTTTCAGCTTAGATGACGAACGAACTAGCGAACTACGATAACACCAATTTTCAACTACGACTGCAAAGACGCCACATCAAGATGGTGAATAACTGTGGACCATTGACTCGGATTATGGGTTCTGATGAAGACGAAGACGTCGAAATGTTAGCCGAAATAAATCTCGTTATCAACTTTATGTAAGCTCAATAATTTAAACACATTTGATAGCACCAAGCTATCCACCGTAGCTCGGCTCTCCGTACGTTACTCATTACGGGCGAAAAGACCATGAAAGCGAAGTAAAATAACGAACTCACTGGATTTTCCAATATTAGGTTAGAAATTTAGATTATTAAGAAGAAAAATATACGGATAAATTCGAATTACTATGATTCCTTAGATTGCTCATCTTACACGAGCTTGTTATATAACTGTTATTGGGCTAACTTTTCGCCGTCTTCTAGCCTATGATCCGAGTCTATGGTTCGCAGTCATTCGCGCTCGCGTTGTGAGCCTCTGTAGTCGTACCCAATCGAATGTTCTTGCTAGCTGTTCCGATACCAACGGCTATAGGATGTTTTCACCTTTATTTACTACTTTTCTTTTTACATGACAAGGTACGATAAGAAATACAACCATAGGGATGCTGACATGAGCGCAAAACTCGCAACCCCGTGTGGGCTTCAAACCTATGATTACCCTCACGGAGGGCTCACGGACTATCCATCACACTAACCGAGGTTTTTGCTCCACCTGTCTTATTGCGATTTCGAATGCAGCTTTAGCTTCCTTCTTTTTTACTTCTTCTATCATCCATTAGCCTTCTCCCCATAGAAGATTAACTTAAAGGGCTTTAACTGGCGGATATCATGCAAACTGGACGTTAACCTCCACTGTCGTAAAGATCTCACTGATGGTGAATGCCCCAACATGGCTAATACGAGGATCCCAGGTAGAACTGACTGAACCGGCATTCGAGGACATTCATGAAGAAGATCAAAAATCCTCAACTGGCAGCAGAACCAGAAGATAATCACGGAATATGGATGGAAGGAATAGAAGCGAATGCAAGAAGTGCTGGGATCCGCACGATAAGTGGTTGTGGTCATGCAAAAGAAACCACGAATCGTAGGCGGCATGTGGAGACCACTTAAGGAGAACTAGCGGTAGATGAATCACATGATCCGTTGTCTGATTATACCGAGAGCTGCTGCACGGTTCTGCACCGAAAAGATAACATTTCGTACTTCTGAAACGGAATGAGTTCTTACAAAATACGCATCCTCTTTAATGGCACAGGTGAACGTGGCTGTCGCAGACATCCAAGCAGGATGAACCTTTCAACTGCATCTCTGAATGGTGTGACTATTCCACTTGAGCACAGAAGGACGATTATCTCGCTATTGACCAGTACTCATGTCCTTCTCTCCTTATGACATCTTTTACCACCTCTAAGTAGAGTTTTGCATGTTCTGATATAAATAATTCTGCACTTGGTGACTTCGAAACCATCGGTTCTTTCTAGGCATTACCATGACGAAGTTGTAGTGGCCGACTGCGCTCTTTATCTGCGCTAACGGTCCCAAATTTATGACTATCGGAGGATTTAGGTCCCTGTACTAACTCCCAAAACTGACTTTCTCTTAACCTCGGCATTGATAAATAATTCGCTCTATTTTTGATAAGCACACATGAGGTTGTTATCGTATATTATTTATCCACAACAGCTGACGTTTCGGAGGATATTGTCTTCTTCAGAGCCCTGAAAGAGCAAGTTAGCTGCAAACCGGTCAGCCAAACACTTCGGTACCTCAGCAGAAAAACTGAGATACCTAGATTCCAATCGCGTTGAAAGCAAAACATATTCTTCACACATTCACCGCTTTTTCCAGGTCCTTGGGTTTTGTGCACTCTTCTTCTTGACGTTATGTCCAGCAAAATAAACGATGGTTCGACCTAGTATGGAACTCATACAAAAAAGCAATAACGACAACATTGTCTACGTGAAAACTTCGAATTAGGGTGACGCTTTCAACCTCATTATGATAGTCTCCACTGAAGGAGTTCCGCATTCAATGTTGGGACGGGATTTCTGGAATTTTGAGTTACCGTGTATGGTCGTATTCGTCATGATTGGTTCAAAAAGCCTATTGTCTTACATCCCACTTCTTGAATCTCAGCGCTCAGTTAACCTTCAAGTAAGTCACCAATGAGGATTTCGTTTAACAGATGGTATTCTCTGTAGAGGTTCTCCAAATATATGAAGAATCCTTCAACTTTGTCTTCGCCACAGCCAGATTTTGGGACGTAGACGATGAAGACTGTCAAAGCCACCACTACCACATATCTTCTCAATCGTGGACGTCAACCCAGTTCGTTAGTTGTTCGAAGAAATCGATGTTCATATCAAACTCGTGTTGGCAAAAAAATTAGCGCCAACAACTCCACTACAGCTACGATTTTTTTTCTTCCGTTATAAGAAACGCTGCTCTGTCTATTTTTTTTTGGCCCAATCCGAAATCGTCGCACTTGGACCCTCTTCAACATATTCAGGTCCTAAGTGCAGAATTCCCATAATAGTTTATGTGTGTTGTAAGCACAGATCGTCACCAGTAATCTCCAAGACTGACGGATTCAAA